GCCTGTAACAGTTTCAGACAAACACTCCCCAGGGATGCCCCTGTTAGTGATGGGCATATTCTAAGTCAGGTCAAAAAAGGCAATATCATCTATTGGTAGCTTTTAGGGGAGCATCAAGGTTGCCAAATAATGACAACAATTCTTTGGCATGACAGTCTTACAGAGCTCCAGGTCCATTCTACTCCCTCTGATACTAAGAACGCAGGGCTGTTTTTTCTCAAGGCTACTCTTGAGCTGGAGAGCAGAAGATGGGAGTACGGCAAGTTGAACACCACAAAGTCTGCTCTTCTTACAGAGATTTGGCCATTTTACTTGACTAGGTAAGTCTTTGGTTAGTTTCTAGAATTCTGGAAAAGCTGTAATAATTTTTTCCAGTTTTCATGGAAGGGTACATTTTCAAAGGTCCTTACTCCACCATTTTCATTGTCATCTGGGCATTTACTTCTAAGAAAAATCTCTTAAGTACTTCTAAGATTTACTTTCCAAACCTTTTGCTGTGAGAATTCATTTTTACTACAATTTATCTGTTCTCACTTTAATTCAATTAGCATGATGAAATATGAGTATTTCCTGCAGGGATTGAGAAATAAAAGATAATACAGAGCTGTATCTACATGGACATATGGGTTATAGCTATTACCCACAGAAAAACTGTTTCTAAATAAGCCATTATAAACTTAGGGACAAGCCTGATTGTTATAATTTGGGTGCTATAGCCATGCTATTAAGAACAAAATCCTATTAAAATCAATTTGTGAAACTCATAATCCTTTAATCTGTTCTGCAATAATATGATAGCCAAATCCTGGAAGTCCCTCATTATCAAAAAGCAAGCACATTTTAAAAACAATAATCTCATTGAGGAAAGAGGATTTCGGGTCAGTTAAGTTAAAGCCTAAAAAAGTTCTTTAGATCTAGTGATAAGAAAATCACTGCCATTTACTACCTACATATTTAAATTTCTTGAATCTGTGGGTTTACAGTTTTAATCAAATTTGAAAAAAAACTTAGCCTTTATTTCCTCAGATATTTTTCTAACCTGAAACGCCCCTACTGTGCCCCCACCCCCAATACACACTCCTTCTGGGACTCGAATCACGCATATATTAGGGTCATTGAAGTTTTCTTATATTTCACAGATGCTATTTTCATTAAAAAATTTTTCTTTTCCTCTGAGTTTCATTTTGGATCATATTTATTGCCATAGTCTTTAAATACACTAATCCTTTCTTCTGCTGCAAGTTTAGTCTGCTATTAATCCAATCCAGTGCATTTTTCTTTTCAGACACTGTAGTGTTCATCTCCAGAAGTTTGACTTGGATCTTTTTTATGTCTTCAATGTTTCTACTTACTTTTTGAATGTATAGAATACATTTAGAATCCACCTGCAATGCAGGAGACTTGGGTTCAGTCCCTGGGTTGGGAAGATCCCCTGGAGAAGAGAAAGGCTACCCACTTCAGTATTCTGGCCTAGAGAATTCCATGGGCTGTATAGTCTATGAGGTTGCAAAGAGATACGACTGAGCAACATTCACTTTCACCATAACTTTTACATTTATGGTCTTCTAATTCTATTATCTGGGTCAATTCTGGGTCAGTTTTGATTGAAGGAGTATTCTTCTCACTAACGAACATATTTTTCCTCCTCCTTTGTATGCCTGGTAATCTTTCATCATATGCCAGACATTATGAATTTTACACTGCTGGGTGCTGGGTACTTTTGTATTTGTATATTACTGAGCTTTGTCTGGAATGCATCTAAGTTATCTTGCAATAATTTGATGCTTTCAAGACTTGCTCTTACGGTTTGTTAGCTGGGTTGAGGGTAGAGCTCAGTCCATCTTGGATACTTTATTCAATGCTTCATGAATTATAAGTGCGTCTAATCCGGCTGGTGAGAACAGACACTACCCCAGTCCTCTGGTTCTGGCCCTCTGCGGTCGTTCTCTGCTCAGCTTTGGGGAGTCTCCTCGTATGTGTGCACAGAATACCCGAGAGGAGAGGGCTCTCTGTCTGGGCCCTTCTCTGCTCTCCAGTATGCTGCCCTGTGAACTCTGTTCACGCTGGTCTCCCTGACTCTCAGCTTCATCCTGACTTTCCGAGGTTCTCCTTCCTTGTGCTGCAGCCAGGAAACTCTCTCAAAAAAATAAGTTGGGATAACTGTAAGGCTTAGTTTGTCTGTTTCCTTTTTCTAGGAATCACTTTTCTCTGCCATCTAATTTCAAATATCTTGGAAATCATTATTTAGCATTTTTTGTTTTCATGTGTGTGTAAGTTCAGTGCATTACTACTTTATCTTGGCTGAAAGTCAAAGTGCCACATTTGAATAAACTTTTGTGAGCTGTTCTGAATTTTAAAAGCAGAGGACTAGGCATTTCTCTATAAAAGTATGAACTAAAGTTAGTCTAAAAATTCTTTCTATAGGTATACAGGTTCTGACAGCTTTTTTTTTCCATTCTGATTGTAGTTCTGTAGTTTCCATAGGAAAAAATATTCCACCTTCACATCTAAAATATATTTTTGAAATAATGTAATTATCCTAGATATCTACTGTCTATTTAAATGCAATTTTCTATAATTATATATTTTATAAAAATAGATGATTTTTTTAATGGGATGAAAAAATGGACTTTTTTCTGGCTTTCCACAAAGCCAGGAAAGACTCTTATCCTCTCATTCTCCTATTAATGTAAAAAATGTACAATGTGAAAATGTCCAAAGTTTATATATGTGTAACATATCCATGATTATAAATTCTATAGGACCCAAACACAGATTCACCTTATATGGTGGCATAAATAAATACGAAAAGATAACCTAGGTGTGATGTTGATGAAGAGAGATAAAATCTATTAACTTACTGTAAACCAAAAAAATCTTCTTCTCACTGACTTAGCCCTCCTACCCTGCTTAAAACTCATTCACATTGACATATTTCCTTGGGTTGAGAAATAAGTTACCAAACTGTTAAATTTAAAGGTTAAGATGGAGAGCAGAATTCAGGCAACTAGTACCAAGTTACAGTTGCAACTTCTATCTCAACTATGCTAGTCTACTCTCCAGAAAATTCATCACCTTTAATATACCTGAAACTTCTCCCTTCAAGTTTTATTATCTTTCTAAGAAGTGATGCACTTGCCAAAATTCCTCCGTGGTTCAGAGGTACAAGGAATGTCAAATCTGAAGTTACATGCTCGAAATAAGTTATCCCAATTCATGAATTAGTCTGGCACAAAATCCTTATTGATTTTCTGCACTACAAGATCTACTGGCTTAGGATCGCCATCAGTAAAGGTCAGAGTAATTTTGAAAGCCTAAATAAGAGTTTTTAGTCATTCCTGCGTGGACAGATACAATCTAACTGTGGAGAAGTCTGTAAAAATGGGAGGTTACAAGTGGAGGTGATATTAGTCACAGTCATCTGCCCAGGGAAAGAGCTGTGGCAATACAACAGGGACCACAAAGTGAAAAGCAGAAGCCGTGGCTAGGTGTGGCTATGAGCTGTGGGTCCCGAGACAGAGAAGAGAATGAGGCAGGTAAGCAAAGAGTTGACACTTCAAGAAAAAAGTCCAAGAATTATACAAAACTAAAATCAGGAAGGTAGATCCAAGTGAAAGTAATAGACGAAAGATCATATCTGGTTCCTGAAACAGAATTTTCATGATCAACTGCCAGAGGGAACAGCCATGCTGATCCTGAAAATAAGCCACCCGAAGTATTACAAATCTGGGTAAGAAAACTGTTCTTAAAAATGCTCTTTGAGGAGACACTGCTCTGGGTAGGAGACACAATATTCGATGTCCTCTGTAACAAGCAGTCGGTGTTTCCTTCTGCAGGTGACTCACGCCTCGCCTCGCCTCCTAGTAGTGAACGCCTAACTGCCTCCTGCTGCTTTGATGTGCCTGTGTACACTGAGGGTCACTTGGTATTAGTTAAAACTTTAATAAAACAGATTAAAGTGGCTAATTCTGAAGCAGATTTGGTTAGTATCAATAGTTTCTTCTGTAGGAAGATGATACATGAAATGAAACCGTGGGCAGCATGAAAGAGTCAACATATCTCCTCAAATAATTCACAGAAAATAACTGGCACAGACGGTTCTTTCAAAGTCTCCACTTTGCTTTGAAAATCACCCTGGGTAATCAGCTGAATCAGGGCTAATATATATTATCTAGGCCGTGTACTACATTTATTTGAATGGCATCTCTTGGAGTTGTGCAAAGTGGAATCTGTCTCTAAAATCAAGTTTAACTTTAGATTTCACTAACTGAACTGCTTAATACTTTTTTAGTTATAAATAACACCATCAAACTTAACTGTAATCAAACTGTCCTCAGGTTAATTTAAAAACATTAAATATTTTCAATTTTCTCTCAAAGCCTTCAATCACATACTATAATATCCATTTTTCTAAATCTTTCACTTGATAATTTCCTAAATGAAAAGACAAGCTAAGACAGAAAAATATGAAAAAAGTTATGCATATTTTTCTAAACAATTAAGTATAATATCTCTCATTTCCTCAAGTATTCAAAATTATATCTTTACATAAAAGTACAAAAAAAAATATTGAAAATGAAGCTTTTGGGACTCTGGTTTAAAAGTAAGGAGAAACATCATTGGAATATTCAAATGGCAAGTCAACACACAGACTAATTTTCTGTAACTTGTAAACTAAAATCTTTTGGTATTCTTTTCCTGTTATGGTGCATTTCTTTCTGGATACAAGGTACCTGAAGCCAACTTAGTTCCTTCTCTGACTCCTCAGCCTCCTGAGCTTGTATTTTATGTCTTTATCCTACCCCACCAACTCTCCTGATTCCTGAAATGCTCAGATTTGACTATTCAGTGCTTTAACATTAAGACTCCTTAATGGAAATATTAATAGCATTAAGGGCTTTATTTTCTCATATACATGGAGAACAGTTACCAGCAACTAGAAGTATAAAGTATCTCTCATTAGCAAATTTAAGAACTCTTAGGGAGTAACACAGACTTACGTATTTCTTCCACAACTTGTGGGTCACATTCTCTGTATTTTTCTACTTCGGCCTTTAGCTGTTCCCTTTGGTCTCGAAGTGAAGAAAGCTCTTTTGCTAGCATAGTTCGCTCTTCCTGCATTCAAAATAACGTTATGTCCAATAAGACAAACAAAATGGCATGTTTTAAGATTATACATTTTATAAACATTTTAATCTTATTTCTCATAACTGATATGCATTAGGCTTTTGACAACAACATACATACATTCACAGTATAAGAACAAATTCAATTCTCATTTTTCTCTGCACTCTCCAATTCTATATATGTTAACCAAATGGAAACTCAAAGATGATTGTCATTACATGACAGTTGTCATTTGTCATTACATGACAAATGGTAATTTTTTGGAGAGTTTCACAAGATTGTATACACACACACACTAAATTTTATGGCAACATCAGACAGTATAAAGTTTTCCTTAAAAAAAAAAAAAGTGTTCTAGATAATTTCCTAGTCTTCAAGAATGATTGACCTTTAAAAATATTTAAAGATATCAGAAACAATAGAACGGTGACCTCCCATCACTTTTCTTCAAAGGTAAACCAAAATAAAACTTTGAAACACAAAATGATCCAATAAACAGTATTTGAAATTTCTAGCTATAGTTTTCATTAACAGGTATAAGTCACAGCGCTGCTGGTATTCAGTTTATATGTGTGAAAAATAAGCCCGAACTAAAATCAAAGACTGGAAAAGGTTATGGTATAGAATTATAGGATAAGTTTCAGGCAAGACCGAACAGAGCTCAAGCTCTCTACTGGGACTCCTTTCAGGTTCCTTGCTAGCTTGCATTTCGCTCCTTTTGCCTTCAGTTGCTCTCCTTGGCTCCTTTTGCTAGCATCAATGCAACAGAATGCACGTACAGAGCCTGATGTAGCAGAGCTCAACAGAACTGCAGTAACAGAAATGTTCTAGACCTGTGTTCTCCAGTGCAGGACACATTAACTACATGGGGCTGCCAAGGACATGAAATGTGACTCTTGTTACTGAGAAACTGAATTTAATTGTATTTAATTTCAATTCAAAAGTAAACAACTGTATATGATTAATGTATGCCATGTTAGTACAGTTCAGGAGCGATTTAAAATAACCACAAGATAAGATGATCATTATTTGCTATCAATACCCAAATCATACATAATCCTCAATGAAACATGAGAGGAGAAAAAGCTAATGAAGCCAGGTGAAGCAGAGTGTTGAGTATCTGTGAATACAGGGACAGCTTTCCAGACATCCTGAACTGGGAGCCATCCCAGACTGGCTATTAGCAACAAGACCTTTGCCACATTACTTAACCTTTTTGTGGTTTCAGCTCCTCAAATGTAAAAATGAAGACAGTAATACAGGCCACCTCCTTGGACTGTTGGCAAAATTCAATAGAGAAAATGTGTTTGGAACAGCATCCGCCTGGCTCATAGTAAGCAACATATATATGATAGCTATGTCTTCTTCATTGTCACTGTCAGCAGTATCATCACCACCATGAATAACAGCTAATAGGTAGAAAAAGCTTTCAGCTATTTCTGAAAACTCCTGACTAGCAAACTCAGGATGAATATAAGAGTTGATCTTTCTCAGGACTCGTTCTGAACTCTTGTTACTATAATCTTCTGATAGCTGTAGGCACCAAATAGGTTTGCTAGTGGTTTTCCCCCTAGTTTCAGAGGTTAAAGTGAACGGGTAATCTTCAGCAGGCTGACTATTATGGGGCGTGAATATGTCACCATTAGTTGAAGGTGCTTCTACAGGTTATTGCCAAATCAAAGGAAAAAAATCATGATTAAATTTTAAAAAGTGGCAATTGCTGCCAAATGAAGAAATACAAGATTCAGGTTGTGCCCAGAACTCACCTTCCCTTAAATATTCTTTAGCAATTACCATTCTCCAGTTCCTATCTGTGACTGTGCTGACTACTCACAGAAAGAATGTATGTAAAATAACTTTGAAAAGCATAAAGCCATGTAAATCTGTGATGTATTCTTTTCTACAGTGTGACAAGTTTTTGAGTCTCTTTCACAACAAGCGGTACCAACAGAGGCTGCAATGAAATGCTTAGAGGTTCATGTTGATCTTCAACATTTTTTCAAGTTATAAGTTCAAACCTGAGATAATGAAAAAACTAAAAAGTGATTTTTAAAAATCCCTAATACTTTAGAGAACACCATACTTTTGAAAAATAAAATAGGTCAATATTCATTTAATCATTTAAAAATATTATAAGACCACAACGGCCCTATAATGACAGTTTTCAATTGGTTCTGTGCCAAGACTTTTTTTTTTTTTTTTACATGTAATGTGCCAAGACTTTTAAAAATCCCAACTCTTAAAAATTTACATAAACATTTATACAGGGCTTACTTTGTGCCAGGCTCTCTTCTAAGTGCTTTGCAAATATTAGCTAGCTTAATCAAACAATAACGCAATGAAGCAGATTTTATTATTCCCCATCTTACAAATGAGAAAACCGAGGAGAGAGCGTTTAGGAGGCCAAAGCCCAGGCAGTCTGGCTCCAGAGTTTGTTTCTTTGCCACACTGCCATTACAATACAATAAGAATAAACCTAGGTTCACAATCAGTGGATCTACCAGGTCAGATGTTCACAGCCTTTGCTGGGACTTGCTTCTTTTCTAGTACGAACAGCATCCTCTTCACAGGAAGCACGGCTGCTTTCATTACACTTAGAGCTGACATTGTTCAAGCATGTACAGATACAAACTTACTGTTTCATGTCTGCCGATTTTAGCTTTCTGGATGCTTTTCTGTAGGTGTGCATACTTTTGGTTTCCCTCAGATAACTATAAAATTGAAACAAATAAAATGGCATACTAAGATAAACTGGTTTAACATAAGGTTTATGAATCAAGAAGACAAAATGAGATTTGCCTTCAGCCCAAGTCAGCATAACAAAAAACGTCAGACTACTTTGGGAACTGACTTCTCTAACCTGAAGAAAAGCAAGTACCATGAATCACTAGGGCAGACTGAGAAAGTTTAAAATATTTCTTCTTATCCTATACAAAAAAATGAATATGTTATCAATCTTTTCAGTCTTCATTCATCAGATTCCCTGCCTCCATCACAAATAACCTGAAGTATATTATTTAAAATTTTAATTTGAAAGTTCAAAAAAATCTTGTTTTATATAAATTCTCTCTTTAAATTTCATTTTACTTCAGACTAAAGGCTTTTCGAAACACTGTTTCTTATAGACTGGTAGTACAGTGACCTGTTTCACTAGTAGAGAGTCAAAAATGAATTATTCTTAATTATTCTTCTTAAATAAGGTACTTTATGAGGAATTATATACTAAGTTCTTAGAGAAGAAAAAATCTATCAGACAAATCTACTGCCAATACGGGCTTCCCTGCTAGTTCAGCTGGTAAAGAACTACCTGCAGTGCAAGAGGCCCCGGTTTGATTCCTGGGACAGGAAGATCCCCTGGAGAAGGAATAGTTTACCCACTCCAGTATTCACGGGCTTCCTTGGTGGCTCAGATGGTAAAGAATCCGTCTGCAATGCGGGAGCCCTGGGTTCAATCCCTGGGTTGGGAAGATCCCTGGGAGGAGGATATGGCAACCCCACTCCAGTACTCTTGCCTAGAGAATTCCCATTGACAGAGGAGCCTGGTGGGCTATGGGCCATGGAGTCACAAAGAGCTGAACATGACTAAGCACAGCGCAGCACTGCCAATTTTACGCATGTTTTAGATACCTTAAAAGTAGCCAGTTTAAGCATTTTACCAAACTTAGAAAGTAAGTTATACTGAAAATGGATTAAGTAACACAAGCATACAGAGACCAACAACATAGAATATTCATTAGCATGTGGTTGAGCCACCAAAAGGGATTGCTTAATTTCAGAACATTGCTTCCCGTCTCAATTTTATTAATCTCCCCTGGGCCCCAAACTAAATAAATACCCACAGGAAATTCTCTACCACATCTTTTGCTGTAAACTAGTTAGACATTTTAGACTCACTGATTGGGTAAAAGTGAAAGCAAAAGTTGCTCAGTCGTGTATGACTCTTTGCGACCCCACGGACTCTACAGTCCCTGGAATTCTCTAGGCCAGAATACTGGAGTGGGTAGCCTTTCCCTTCTCCAGGGGATCTTCCCAACCCAGGGATCAAACTCCGGTCTCCCGCATTGCAGGCTGATTCTTTACCAGCTGAGCCACAAGGTAAGCCCCTTGGGAAAGGGCTTTCTTAAAATACATTCTACACTTCATTCACTCTTGAGTTATAAACATTTGGAAAATAATTAACAAATGGATGAGTAATTTCTTTTGGCTGATTCTAAAAAGCTGACCTTTCACAATATGATTTCGTTTTATGTAGAGGGTGAATTATACTTAGATACCCTTTTTTGCTTAAAAAAATCACAAACAATATCTTCAAAAAGTTGGTAGCTTTACCCTGACTTTAAGAAATCTTCCACTTCTCAGTATGTACAAAGGGAATATTGTTAGTATTCCTTTGGTTGTCTAGTCCTTGATTTTAATCCATAGCACGAACAAGATCCATCTGTGATGCCAAGAGGACATCACCATCAAACCAGTTATACCTCTTCTAGAGAGAGTAATTATCTTCCTAAGTTGAAATACAAAAATCTGCTGTAGAGTTAAGAGCCAAAATAAGCTTTAAAGCCCCAAATTTAGCAAAGAGACCTTGTTCTTTAAAACAAGGGTTCTCATTTATAAAATAACACCATGTTTAAAATGTTAATATTCCACCCTGAAGGACCCATCTGAAATAATTTAATAAATGCATGTAATATCTTCATTTAGGAGTATTTTCTAATGAAAAAATACACATAGGTATTAGCATAACATTTTTACATTACAAATGTTTAAAAACTAACCAGATAGGTAGATGTTACTCCCTAAATGAAGAACTACGTAAAAATAAGCCAATAATTAATGGACATATTAACATATCTTAATTATATTAATGAAATGTTTCCCAGATATTGTATGTCTGCTTGTAATTATTTACAACTTAAAAGCTTTTGAAAGAGAGCTAATTCAGGAATTTCTTAACTCTGAAAATAATCTTATGTATTTTAAATGTGATTTCATGATTTGTCACTTTAACTATCTCGGTTAAATGATGGTATCAAATGAGAAGCTTCTGCTAATTATCCTAAGCACTGAAACAATTTGCTTCAACTCAGTAGGGAAGGAATCTTGGCTCTGTTTAGTTCTTAAAATCTCAATTGCTAGAAACAATGAAAGCAACTTCTGTGAGGCAGCCCATGCTATCCGTTTTTCATCTACACGTCTCTTAGAAGCAATATTGCTATAGTTCCTAACACATCCCTTGGAATTAAACCAAATGTAGGCCCCTCCAGTGATTAAGAGCTGAGATTTTCAGCCACTGCAGATATTATCTAAACCAGCAGTCTTAAACTTGAGCACACACCAGGGTCACCCAAAGGGCGTGTAAAAGCCGAGGCTGCTGCCCCACCCCCCCCCAGGCTTTGAACAGTAGAGGTCTAAGGCACAGCCTAACAACATGCATCTCTAACATGCTCCCAGGTGACGGGATGCTGACGCTTCTGATTACGGGCATCACACTTTTGAGAACGACTGAAGTACGAGAGAAATCTGTTTCTTTGCAGTAACAAACCCAACTAAAATACACAAGATATTAATATATGGGAGACTATTATCTAGTTCATCAGCAAAAATGAATTACTGCTAAGCACTGTAGTCTGAACCAGAAATAAAATATCTCAGTATTTGTCACTGAAAGAAACACAAAAGTCCACATTCACAAAATTAGAAAAAGAAGTGATATTCTATAATGAGAAAAAATATTCACCACAGGACTCCTTTAAAGAGCAAATTCTCTTGACATATTTCTGTAACATAAAACAAGAACCAACTACATACTGTAACAATCTACTTCCAACTTTCATTAAAGCAAATAATAACTTTTAAAACCCAAGTAACTCAGAAAAAACAGCAGCAGCAACAACAAAAGTGACTTATAATTAGTAAGATCAGGATTTCATCTTCAGACTTGAGGAAGGGTCTGACAATGCTTCTCTTTAATGCATTCCAGTCCACCTATGCAGACACTGAGGCTTCAGAGACATAATGCCAATGTTTTCTTAAGGGCTAATTCACTGCCTGGAGGAACAGAAAGATTGATTCAAGCTGGCTGCACTGGAATTCTGATTTGCTCCTTTTTAAAAGTAAAATTTCAAAGCTTTTGAAAGAAATACAGAAGTCCTCATAGGGGGGAAAGAATGTCAAGGAAAGGAGGATGGGGAAAAAAGGTAATAGTAAAAGAATCCAGTAAAAGTCTACAGCTTTATCAAAACTCATGTACAATATGTTATGGAAAAAAGAGGTTCTATGTCTTGTTTCTCCTCAAAAAAAAAAAAAAAAAAGAGAGAGGGGCAGTATAATTTAAAATTTTATATATTTAAAAAGTCTTATTAGTATATCTGGGGCTCCCCAGGCGGCGTTGGTGGTAAAGAACCCACCTGCCAATGTAGGAGATATAACAGACTCAGGTTCGATCCCTGGGTCGGAGAGATCCCCTGGAGGAGAGCATGGCAATCCACTCCAGTATTCTTGCCTGGAGAATCCCATGGACAGAGGAGCCTGGCGGGCTACAGTAAATAGAGCTGCAGAGTCAGATATGACTGAAGCGACTTAGCACACACACATTAGTGTATCTACAATTTTAAAATTAAGATGACATGCCATTTAGGAATCAATCATAACAAAACAATGAGTACTATAAAAATGAATTTATATATAAAGAAGGGGTTATATAATTGTCTTAACAATAGAGAAATCTTAAATTGCTATTTCATGGTATCAATGTGTCACAATTATGTAGCCAAAGTAAACATTTTAGAAGAACTTTTTTAGTTCTACCACTTTATTGCCACCAACCCATCTCCCTCCACCCTCATGCGCACATGCTCAGTCATGTAACCCCATGGACTGCAGCCCGCCAGGCTCCTCTGTCCATGGACTTTTCCAGGCAAGAATACTGGAGTGGGTTGCCATTTCCTTCTCCTTAGAAAAACTTTTAATGACACCAATATAGAGTTTTAAAAAGCTGGAAACAAAACTGTCAATCCATCTGAGAGACTGTGTGCTGTGCTTAATCGCTCAGTCATGTCGGACTCTGCGACCCCAAGGACTAGCCTGCCAGGCACCTCTCTCCTTGGGGATTCTCCAGGTAAGAATACTGGAGTGAGTTGCCGTGATCTTCTCAACCCAGGGATCAAACCCAGGTCTCCCACACTGCAGGCAGATGCTTTACTGTCTGAGACACAAGGGAAGCTCTTTGAGAGACTATGTATGATCAAAAAACCAAGCCCCCAAAATAAAAACCTGTAAGAAAATGCACAGAACTTGAAAATGGTTATTTTTGTATTGTGAAACATAAAATTTTCTATGTTGTGACTATTATTTTAGAAATCCTTTTCCTGGGTAAGGGGGTAGGAGAAGAAAAGAACTGGTGAGGCAGATTAAGAGGTACAAACTTCCAGTTGCAAAATAAATGACTCATGAGTATGAAATGTACAGTGTGTGGAATGTAGTCAATAACTCTAAACTTTGTAAGGTGACATATTGTAACTGTACTTATCATGGTGATCAGTTTGAAATGTACAGAAATATAGAATCACAATGTTGTGTAACAGGAACCAACATAGTGACTCAGAAAAAGATCAAATTTGTGGCTACCAGAGATGGGGGTATGCAGGGGGAACTGGACGAGGACAGTCAAAAGGTACATAATTTTTTAAAAAATTAATTAACTGTAATTGGA